TAACTTGTTTAATTACACTAAACTGCCTTATTGTATTTAAACGCAGCTCTTCTTACCATAAACACCATGTCAGTTATCACATTAAAAGGCTGGGAAATCAAAAATGAAGGATTTTAGATATTAGATAGATAATGATATCCATGCTAACAGTCAGATGTTATTGAACATGTTATAAATTCTATCAAAGCCAATTACGCTGAACCTCATTGTCTTTCGACACATTTTCTTATAATGCCAATCATTGCATAATAAGGGTAGTGAAATCTTAAAAGAGGTATTTTTGTTTTAGTCAGATGATGAAAATCATGATGTGACTGAACATGTTTTGAATTCCCGGTGTCAAAACCATTATGCTAAATTGCCTTCTTGTCTTGAAACTCAGGTTTTCTTAGCATAAACACTTACAATGCTAATTATCACAAAAAAGTTTTGAAATCATAAATTTGAGATTTTTTAGTCATCAGACAATGATCATGTTAAACCATCAGATGTGACTGAATATTATAAATTCTCTCTGTCAAAGCCAATTATGCTATGCTATGCTAACTGCCTTATTATCTATTAACACAGCTTTTCTTAGCATTATGTTATGTGGTGCTAATTATTACATATAAAGGGTAGTGAAATCATAAATTATGGATTTTTGTTTAAGTGGTCAGATGATGATATCCATGACAAATTGGCAGATGTGATTGAACGTTATAAATTCACTCAAAGCCAGTTACACTAAATTGCCTTCTTGTCACTAAACACAGCGTTTCTTAACATAAACACTTATGTTATGACAGTAATAGTCACATAAAAATGTTGCAAAGTCATAAACTAGGGATTTTTGATCAATCACATTGTCCAATTATGCTAAACTACTTTATTGCCTTCAAATGCAGCTTTTCTAAGCATAAACATTTATGCTATGATACTAACTATTGCATAGAAGAGGTTGTGAAATCATAAATGAGGGATTTTGAAGTTTAAGTGGTGAAGTGATGATATCCATGATAAACAGTCAAATACGATTGGCCTTAACACAGAATTTATAACATTCAGTTAAGCTAAACTGCCTTATTGTCTGTAAACAGTTTTTCCTAACATGAAAATGTATGTTAGGATGCGAATAATCACATAAAAAAAGTTTAAATGGTTAGACGATGATATCCAAGATAAACAGATGGGATTAACTTTGAAATCTCTCCTCAGTGTTCATGTCTAATGCTAATTTGGCACTGAACACAACAGTCTCTATTGTGACCTCACTCACTCATAGTCATATGAATACTGATATACTCAGTCTCTACACATATTTGGACTGCAATACATGGAAACTGATGATGTTCCTTTGACCTAGAAATCTATTTTTGCTGTGGGCTAAACAGCTCGCCAAGCTCAGCACCATCAGATGATTCCTCACTCAGCTCCAGACTGTCTCATGGAAAGATAAGTGACTGTTTGGTTTTAGGGTGGAGAGATATATAAACCACACACACGTTTTACTTTGTGGTGGGGACCGCCTGTTGATGGCTACTGTTTTTGAATTAAGATAACTGTGATTACTTTACTAACGGTAATCATACTCTTTAAATACATTTTAATTAAGGGAGGACACAAGGGAGGTCAAAAATGGAAGGGATAGATCAGGCAAAAGTTAACTTTTTGGTCATCATTTACATTTACTCACCATCATGTAATTTTAAACCTGTTTGACTTTGTTTTGATCATAGAAAGCAAAAGGAGATGTTTTACAGAATGTCCAAGCTGCTCTTTTTATGCACACTGAGAGCCTAACATTATCTTTTGTTTTCTACATAAAATGATTTTTCAAAGTTGTAAATAAATTAATGTTAAGTGTAACATTTGACTCAACTAGTCTAATGTAGTGAGCTGTAAGTTCATAGCTGGATTTTAGCCCACTGGAGATTAGCTACAGGCTCAGAGCAGATGTTAATTAACCCGTATAGGCATGTACAGGTGGTGCTTTGGCACACCTCCCAAAAAAATCAGAGTAAACCCTGACCCCACAATATATATTCAGCTAAATATATGCCAATAAATAAATAAGTATTGAAAATCACATAAATATATTGCTTAAATATACAAGTAAATATATTTAAATTAAAATAACCTAAATAAATGATTCTCTCTTAGAAAATGGGTCCAAAATCTTTCACTGGGGCAGTATCTTTTCAAAATGTACTAATACGTGCTAATACGAACTTGTAAGTAACAAATATGCACCCTTAAATAAGGTACAAAAGTGCACCTTTTGAAAAGATAGGTACCACCCCAGTGGCAACGTTTGTATCTTCTTCTGAGAGTGTATGAAAATGTATTTGTTTACCCCAAAATTCCAGCTATGAAAACAGACTAAAATCTCTACAGTAAGTTTATTTGAGTTTATTAGACTTACTTTAGGATTGAGGTCGAGCTGGCTGAGAGTGATTCCGTTCTCATCCGTGATTTCTGTCACTTCTGACAGGTCGTCATCCTCGTATTCATTCAGACTGATATCATAGGTTAACCTGCAAAGCGCCAGCACACCCATGCAGACAGTGACACACACTACGTCATCTCTCCACGAGGCCATCGCTAGACAATCATACACAGAGAGAGGGCAAGGCTCTCCTGCTCATCTGATAACTTCACGTCGACTACTGCAATGCTGTAAACTTCTAGGCGTATTACTCCCTGATATATAAATGTAAACAAAGTTTTAAAGTAGTTTCTTTTAGTCATTTAATGTAATCCTGCAGGTATCAGTTGGCATTCTGCTAACTTTAAGTTTATAATTTGTCTATTTAATAAACCTTTATATCAATTTATATTTATATATAAACAAATTTACATAAAAGAATATTACAGACTTATCAAAGGTTATATTCAGAATTATGTATGTTACGCATATGGAAATCTGTTGTTAAGAAAGCATAAGCAAAAACAAACAATTCTTCTGTTGTTTTTTCCTAAATGTAAATGCTTTTTTAACACATTGTATGAACTTGCTTAATGACAATATTATTTATTCTACCTGATGTTTAGAAATAAAGTTGTTTTTAAGCATTCTTACCCTCTATCTGCAAGCTAGCCATTTACTGACAATTTAAGCTGTAAAAGCACTCAGACATACTAAATTCACAGTGCTTCCTGTTTATATACCTGGAATTGTGCAGCCGCCCACATTTCTAGATAGATAAGATGAACAAGACAATTTAACATGATAACAATGAATTCAGTCAAGCGAATGAACCTAGCATAACTATAAATGTCTTTTTGCACACCACAGTCGTTCCTTTATCTTTTGATTATGATTTTGTACCATGCAAAAGACTCAAAGCAAGCCTAATTTTAGATCAATAAACACTATATACTCATTAAATTACAAAACCTTCAGTTTTATCCATAACCCTACATCTATTTCCTTCATGCACACCTAACTACCTATTGGCCTATTTCAGAGAACACGAGCTGATCCAAGGTCAGTTAAGTGCAGCATAAAAAGGCCGTGTAGGGGACACGGCTGCATCACTACTGTACCATTTCTCCCACTGTTCCTCCATCCAGCTGTCCCCATCCTCTCTGGAGTCCATGGCCAGGCTGAGCACCATCTGCAGGGCAGGGCGAGGTGCCACTGGACCCTTCTTCAATGCGGCTCAAGTTGCCACCTCCACACAAGTGCAGGCCGGTTCGGCAAAGAGATGCCTGCTGGGAATCGATGACATTGATAACAGATGAAAATATCTGGAAGGCTGTCTGTGATTTATATTGTATCATTAAAGTTCATTAGGAACTCCTCCTAAACCCTGTTAATTAGATTCAGATCTCCTTGCGTTTTATTAATGGAAAAACAAACATGTTATTGACGGATCATACATACGTCTTCTTATTTTACATTGTGCGGTGGGGCGATTGCAGATAACGTGTTATTGACTTGGAGGAGATTCGTTTCATTGCGGGACTCTGCAGAAGATGGAGGATGACGAGAGAGAAACGGGCAAAGAGGCAGAGATAAGAGTCTCTCCATGGTCATTATGCTCTATAAGAGCAGACATTAGCTGACCTGGGCAGGAGCTGAGAGCTCTTCCCTCATTAGCGCAGCTCCCACAGGACGCCATTCACATCAGCTCTGCATACAGCAGCTCTATTGCATTACTACACTGCCAGTCTGAGATAAACACCAGCACACTGCTGGATGCTGAGCAGTTCGCTCAGATGTGCACTGATGGCACACTGTTTTAATACAAATGAGAAAATCATAGATGTCATTCTAATCATTCATTCATTTAGAAAAAAAAAAAAGCATTTGTGACTTTATCGTATAAAAAAACAACATAAGAGAACAAAACAAAGAGAGAGAGGAAAAAAAAAAAAAACCAGGACAACCAAAAAGAATATATGATAGAATATAGAACATAAAAAAGAGAGAGGAAAAAATAAAACCAACAAAAAACTCAAAACACACACCAAAGCAGAACAAAGAAATAAAACAGAAAAGACAACAAAAAAGTTCAAAACACAACACAGAGAGAAGAGAGAGAAAAACAAACAGAAAAGGACAACAAATGCTCACAAGACAACAACAACAACAAAAACAGATCAAAAGAAATAAAAACAAAACAGGACATCAAAAGGACAGGACAAAAAACAAATAAATAAATACAAAATATACTATGAATTTAAAAGAAATAAAAAATAAAGGCAAAAATTTTCAAATAAAACATAATAAATAAACAATAATACTCATACAACAATACACTGAAGATGTATAAATAAAAAAACACTAGATTTAAATAAAAATAAAAAACTCAAAAACTAAACACGTTCATGTATACAAGCACCCAAAACAGAACAAAAAAAAAAGAACATGAAAGAAAAAAAAATCAAAAAGACAAAAAATAAAATAAAATTCTAAAAATATACATTTATTAGAAATAAAAATAAAGAAAATAAAAAATAAAAAAAATGCAGAAATAAAATACACAATACTAAATCGTATTAAACCAATAAAAATACATGCACTGGTTAGTCATAAAGAGAGACATCTGAACATTTGGAGGTCAAGCAACGGGAAAAAAAAAGCAGCTTTTTTATCATTGATGTTTGACAAACAAGCCCTGGATTTGTCACAGGCATTGACGGAACAGTGTTAATTCTTTTGTTATTGTTTATTAATGCTGTTTCTGTTCTTCTGCAAAAGGTGGCGCCATTCGCACACTTTTCTCCTGCCGTTTCTGTCTATGGGATGGTTCAGCGAGGTGGACTCCTCAGACTTCCTTGGATATGGGACCGCAAACGCAGTCTCAACCTGAAGAGGGTAGAAATATAATTCATCATCATCACTGTTCATTTTGATCCTTGCTGAATATGCTTAATTCAATTGTGGGATTCAGCAAAAGAAATTGACAAAGAAATAAAGCTGGTTTATGAAACAGCTCCCACACACCTCATCATAAAACATAGCAGTAATAACTAGATACATGTTCATTAAACCGGAGCTGCTAGCTATTAAAATTAAAATGACTGACTTTACCTAAAAAGGTTGCTTTAAAGCCTGAAAACTGGACTTTCACTCAGAGATGCAAACAAGTAAGAGGGGAAAAAAGGTGAGAACATTGCACAGATCAGGGGCATGCTACACACTGGATTTCTTTTCAAGATATTTGCTTTACATGCTGTTTTGTAGTTACTTTAAAGTTGTTGTTTTTTTATTACCTTATATGTGCAAACACGTTATTTTTCACCAAAAATATGTTGCAACATATTACAAAAATAAAGATATTTGAATATATTTGGTCAAAATCCCATGCAATTTAAGACAATATTGGCTGATTAGATGGCAATGCTGACCTAAAATGCAAAATGTTTGCCCTCTCTCTCCACCGTTCCCACATCTCAGACCTCAAATACATAAAATATTACCCTTTTTAGACAGTTTTTGAAGTAAGGAGTAAAGAAAATAGTATACAAAACATACTGAAACAACCAGTTCTTTATTTACCCTTGTAAGATCACAAGTACCCACAGGAGTTTGCATCTAAGTCAATGCATATATGCATAAATTTAAAGTGTGCTTTTTAATTTGTTGATAATTATGAACAAGAATATTATACTTAAAATTAATTATATATATATATATATATATATATATTATTATTAGAAATGGTAATAAGTGTATGTATATACACACACACACACATACATATATATATATATATATGTGTGTGTGTGTGTGTGTGAATAATGATGATTATTATTAATTATTTTGAGCTTAAAAACTGGATTTTTCTCAATTTTAAAATACATACTTTTTAATTTCACAACATATTAGAAGTGTTTTGTAAAAACTCTGGCTGGTACCTCTGGTCACTGCTTGTCATCAGTCTTCTGCTCGACTCCTTTGGCTTGGTTGGTGTGCTTAACTTTTGAATTCTGTTTGCTTGGGAGCCCAAAGGGTCGGCCCCTTTTCCTCTGGATGTGGACCCCGGGGGCAGCTGCTGTCGGGCTTGAGTTTGTGGTGGAGGGCTCCGAGTTGGGTGGGGTTGATGGTGCAGGGGTGGGCTGGTGTGGAGATGGTGTGGGAGTGGACGCTTGACCTGCAGAAAACATGATGGTGCTTCAGCAAAAGTACTGTCCTGACTAGAAGAAATATTTGTTTGGTTTTAGGGGTGAAGGGATGATTAGTTATTAACATTAACATCTTGAATCTTGAATTAGTTATTAACATTAAGGGTGAAGTCTGCTTCATGCATTTATTTTCTTTAGCATTGTAAAACTTTTTTTTGTGAGATCAGGGAGTCTAGTTACATTTTGCATCACAGATAAAAACAAAGCATAGCTAAGAAAACTGAAAGCTGCACAGTGAATCCTGTTAGTATGATGGATGATTGACGTGTCTCACCGGCAGTGCTGCTGCTGGCCTGAGAGTCATCTGACATGGGAGGCTCCGCCTCTTCCTGGATTGTAGGGACTGAGGCGAGCAAACCTGCCGAGAAAAGAGAGAAAGAGGCTTTGTTGCAATTTTTTCAAGTCAATCAAGTTGTCATCTGCATACAACTGAATAAATATACAGATGTCACATTACAAATAATCATTATCTCTTTGATGGACTGGGTTGTAAATTTACTGACATTATTTTATCTGTTAGTAAAATGCTACAACTATTGATATTTTTTAGGACACATTGAAATCACGAGGACTTGTGTAGCAAGACCTCTTTTAGTCTTAACAAGCAATGTTCTCAGCCTTGTTTTTTTGCAATGTTATTTAACACTATTCTAAAAATTGAAGAATTACTCACAAGAACACTGCTAAGAACTGACTTAAGTGTAAAAAAATTCTTGGCTCAAAGCTGAGCTTAAAAGTTAGTAATCAAGCATCTCATTTAAGCAAAGTGTAGGACTAAATCTTAAGTGACAGTCTTCGAGATGATTCACGACACTTTGCTGTGCCACAAACGGGATTTTGGATGATGACGTAGGCATGGACCATTCTCTGAATAGATTTCCTTATTTAAGAATATTCTCAGATAAATTCACATTGAATGGTGAAATTCCTAAGAGGAGTTTACATTCAACACACATTTGACAATGATATACACATTGGAAATGAAAGATAAACGCGTTTTCCACCATGTCTTAATTACAAATTTAAACCAGTGTGCGGTTACCTGACCTGCCTTTAGGGTTGTGCCGATAGATGATAGTCAAAGATATCGCCTGTTGCTGATGATAGCAAGACGATTATCATTATTATCCGTCAAAAATAGACTAAGCGCCTATCTTCAGTGATGTAGTGCGGAGAGCCGCTTCAGAAACGTGCGCGGCTGGTATAAACACAAGCATTGACCAGAGTGGCTGCGATCAGCTCCGGTGGCCGTGTTGGAGCCGTAACGCACCGCAGACATGTGCAGTGTAAGTAAGTTGTAAGAGATTTATTCATTATACAGTGTAGATAGCTTCACTGATTATAACGGGAGTGTTTTTTTAAACGGCATAATACTCGTGCTAGACTGAAGTCAGTAATGATGTTCTTAATGTTCTTTGCTCGTTTTCGGTTTGAATAACTGAGGAAATGTAACCGTTTGATTAACTGCTCATCGTCAAACATTTCAAAACATTCTTCTTCTCCTGAAAGATTTGCGCACGTCTCTGTCTCCTCAGCACCATCACAAGCCCCTACTGGCAACTCCTAACCACTTGAGAGACCTCTCGAGCTGTAATAACTGGGAGAGTAAGAGTGATTCTTAGCTTTAAGAAATTCGATAACGTGCTTTTATACTTAAGTTTGAAAGTACTTTGTTTGAAAGTTTGAAAATTTCATGAATTCTCAGCACATAAGACTAAAATGGCACTAGTTTGAGAAGCTTGATAAATACGGGCCCAGATATCTTTCAAAATGGCAGCTTTGAAAAGCTTTTTCATTTATTGCATCATCTGCAATCAATTTTTAGCTATTACAGCCTCTGCATATGTAATATTTTCCATTTTGTGTTAGCAAGTATGATCACTTCTCCATGCAGTCTAACTACAAACTATCTACGATCTCCATCGGGGTCAAAAACAAACTGCATCATTACAGTACTTAGAGCTACTGGGTCAAAGAAATTTAATGAGAAATGACAGTAAATTACTGTACTGTAAATTACTGCAACTGCTTAAATAACCTCTTATACAAGCACTCAATATCATCAGAATGGTCTTTTAGTTGGTGACAAAATGCTGTAATTTCCTATTTCCTCCATAAGAGAGAGGGCTGTAATAAACCTTACGTCATGATGGATAGGTACACTGTGTTACTCACTAAGGCCTCTGTAGTGCGACAACTGCTGGTAAACTTGTTTCATTCGTTCGATGTTGAGCCGGCTGCTCTCGGCATGGTTGATCATAGGTTTAGGATAGTCCACACCCACAATGCAGTTGGCCGCTTTCTGCACTGATTCTGGAGCATTCCATGGCTCGTAGATGTAGCGGTTAGGATAGTCTTTTAACTTCGGGATGTACCTCCTGTATGTGAGAATATAAGAGTTATATAACAGATGCAAATGATTTCAAAATAAATATCAGTTTTATTTTTTTTTGAATAATTACATGCATTTTTATTACAAATTACTATATCAGTATTAAAGGCATTTCATAATTTCTTAATATTTGTTATGGCATCTTGTGTGCAGCACAACTTGATGCAGCTTGTTATTTTCCAAGGTATTCTTCTGATATTCCTAATTTAGAAGTCTCCACAATGTCACAGCAGCTCTTTTGAATATGCACAGTTGAAAGGCCTGAACCTGTGGCGGTTTACATAAGCCTTTATGCAACACAAATCTAAGAAACTCTCAAAATATATAACACCAGCCAGTGATTTAAGACATGCTTAGGTGTGGTTTAGGCCTGGTTTGTGTACCTGATGTAGTCTCCGCTGGGATCTGTCCTGCGGCCGAAGCCCACGGGACAGTAACAGTGGAAGAACTGCTGGAAAAACGCACTGCAGGACAGCCACATCCAGCTGCCCGCGTTCACGCTCCAGTCCGCATCCAACAACAACTCCTCAAACACCTGAGAGAAAGAGAGAGAGATTAAGAGAGGAAAAGGAATAAAAAAAGGAAAGAAGGTGAAGTTATGCCATCTTAATTACTTTCATTCCACTTTCCCAACTGATCCACAGGTCTCCACGAGTGAGGAAACAGGCTACGGCATGTCTGGCCAGGTGGTGGATCCAGCCTTCCTGTTTTAGCTGGGTCATGATGGCATCGATCCAAGGGAACCCTGTCTGACCTTCTGCCCATTTAGCCAGCGCCTCAGGATTGTGATCCCAGGGGATCTGCACGCAGATGGGGTTTCCCTCCATACGGTCAAAGTTGGGGTTGTTGGTGCCTGCCGTGTAGAAAAACTCTCGCCACAGCAGCTGGCCGAAGAGCGAGAGGGGTGGACTGGAGCGTCTCCACAGCTGGACAGGTGCAAGAGGTCATGAAAACCGTCACAAAATATTCTTTTTACTATGCTGTGGCAGTTCTATGTCTTTTATAACAATACATGCATAATCCGGTAATTAATTCTCATACTACTGCCACATTTTCATTCTCGTCTACAAAACTAACTTATGAACTATCCCACCTGTCATACTTTTTTTATGAGTACTGAAGTTCCCATGTATTCTTTTGCATCATTATCTGGACCAACTTATTAATTTTAATTAGTTTTGTAAATAAATTCATATTTAGATACTTGATCTCCTCAACTACTTTCAAGCATTTCAACATCAACCTTTAGATCAAAAGGACTTTTAAGATACATTAAGAAAAATACATTCATTCAAGTGTGTCCAGAACTTTGGCTAGTAGTGTATATTTATCACTTTTTTTGTGGTGTCACCCAAGGCTCGATTCTGGGACCCTCTATTATTCAACATAAATGCATCTACTGGCAAGTGTAAATATTTGATTTGAACATCCACTTTCATGATTTCTATACTGGCTACCGTTGAATATTTAACTATTAAACTTCCACTTCTCTAAATTACAAACAATGCCATAAAATAACAATGACTTACCTTCATAAAAAGTTCCCGTAGACTGTAGTAAAACACGCGACATGACAGACAGCCGAATCGTAGGTAAGGACTAAGTCCAGTTGGGCTTGCGAACAGTGATTGAGCGGTTATTCTAGGCCTCTCGAAATTTGCTACCCAGGCCTGCATCAAAATAACATGATTAAATCAAATATAAAAAATAATAAAAATAAAAAAATAACTATTTTTGACAGGTATATATATAACCACCATTCATTATTATTTTCTATAAATTTAAAAATACAACTGCATTTCTAGTAAATAATTAAAAAGTCAACATAATTAAGAAGTCAATAGTGATTATTAAAATAACTTAACTTCATTAAGTATCACCATGTCTCACCTTTCTGTCTAAGTGTTTATTTAATCTTTCCAGGGCTTCTGTCTCACCACCCTTCCATACATGTGAGCGGTCACCCTGAGTCTTAAAACCCAGCTCCTTGAGAGAGGGTACGCCATAACGTTCATCATGATTTTCCGAGATCTGCGTCTGACACCTGGCCATCTGTTCTTGAGTGATAGTCGGCAATGGTTTCCTAGGAAGTTCGAGTCTGTTCACAATGGCTTGAAATCTCTTGAAAGTGAGAGGGGGGCTGTGGTTGTTCATTTCTATGATCCTGAGGGAAAAGCAAAAACACGTTTCAGATTTCACTGCCTAAAAGCAGCTATTTTTAGGTCTATATATCCAAGGTTGAATATTAATAGAACTCAGAAGGAGAAATGTCTTTGTTTTAAACCAGTTTGATTTGATCTTGCTGACTGATTGTTCAGAGTGTTTTAGTGTAGATAATAAACAATTTTCAAAGGCATCACTGAGTTAATTTCCGGTAAAAGTTTAAGCGAACTGATAGAGCTGTCAGAGACCCAATATGTTTTATGTATGTGGATTAAACAACAACAACATTTAGTAAAAAATACATGCATTTTCTTCAAGGGCATGAACATACATTGCACATTACACTAACTGTTAGAATATATGGGGCCAATAAGGTTTTTTTTTTTTTTTTGAAAAGGAATATATTTATTGAGCAAGGACATATTTAATATTACAAATGCTGTTCTTTTCATCAAAGAATCCTGAAAATCACAGTGGGCCTCATTTATCAATCTAACATAGAAACAAGCGCAGATCCGTGCGCACAAATCAGCTTACGACAGAGTTCACGTGTGATTTATTAAACATTCATATGCCGCCAATCTCATCGTACGAATGTTCGCACGTTGATAAATGTGGCGGCAGAAAACAATCGACATTTGAATATCACGCCCCTAAAAACACCCTGGTTTAGAAGCCTCGCCCCTAGAGTTTACGACCATTAACCTTGTAATTGCAAAGAATTAGGCTACATTAATATATGTAATTTATAGACGGTTTCATCGGGCGCACGTGCCTAGCCCGAAGTTAACTTCCGGCATGTGTTTGCTTATCAGTCTGGCTATGGCGCCGGCTACAAACGCAGTTAAAGTTAAGGTGAATAGACTGAAGTTGGGCTCAGGTGGTTGTGCTGTGGGACGTGTTTCCCATACATTTATTTATTTGTGGCACTCGCCACAATATCAAAACTGACGGATTTTCCAAAAGGCTTCGTTGAATAAA